TATAGATTCCTTTACTGTTTGCCTGGAATTATGGATGTAGAAATGTTTGCAACAATTGTCAAAAAGAGATGACATATATAATTCCATTGTGAGGCTGTTTGCAGTTTAATAGCCAAATAATCTATTCTCAATTTGCTTGATTCTTTCTTTATTAAATAAACTTGTGATGACAATGTGGATTCCAAGTAGTTTACCTAGACAGAGAAGATATACTGGGACCAGCAGTTAGTGTAGTGGCTATGTTGCTGGACTCCCGTGCAGTCGACTGCGATTTGCGTCCCGGACCCGGTGGCTTAAAACTCAAGCCGGGCGCATGTGCGTGCGTGCCTATATATATACACTGAAAAAACAAGGTCTAGTCCCCTTAATAGTTATATTTATTTTTAGTTTCATGCTAGAGTCACTGGGCTCAGTTTGGTTAAAGTATCAGCTTCTGCAATTCTGGCACGTTGATTTTTTGAGGCCACTTCAAGAAAGGATAGTCCCTGGTTCATGCTGCATTTATTTATTTATTTTATAGAGAGATTTTTGCTATCAGGCCCATGCCCTTGCCCAAGAGACAGAGAGAGACAAAGTGAGAAATTACTCCCTAAAGGGGGATGACCACCCTGCAGTCCTCCTTCATTCTCCTCTTGAGATTTTGGGCTCACACACACATGCACCTGGTGTGAGCTTGAAGCTACTGGGTCTGGGACTTGAACTGCAGTTAATTATGTGGGAGTCCAGCAATTCAACCATTATGCCATCTGCTGGTCCCTTCCACCCTTTTCCCATGCTGCATTTATTAACTCAATGCTTCCCTGTGGTCAGGCATTTAGTTGTCAGCTGGTTTTCTCTAAGAAATCCTCTGACATCGGTCTATTAACAGTGCTCCTCTTCTGACCTATTTTCTTTCTTTTCCAGTTGACGCTAAGGTAGGTATAAACAGATGCTTGGTAGATTACACGCATTTTCTGTAGAATATGTATGGCGATCCTAAAGTTCCAGATGCTGATATGCTGTATATCATTAGTTCATTTATTTACCCTACACCAATGTATTTTATTATGTCTCTTATGTATATTTTGTGAATTCAGTGCCAAGCAAACAAATACAAGTCCTACCTCTGTGTGTGCAGCCCAGTGTAAGTTTCTCAGCAATTGTTGGAAGCATTGGTGTTTCACATGGTGGCCCTGATTTTTCGTGGTCCAAATTGCTATAAGAGATGATTCTGCAATTAAATTTATTTGAATGAATTCCCTTAATTACTTTAACTAATTTAATTAACTAAATTAATTATAATTTCTTCACAAATACTCAAGGTTATTAGCCAATTAAAGCCAATTAAATGTGTTCACAGTATAGCCTACTTTCTTATATAAAATACATTAGATAGGAACCAGCAGTTGGTGTAATGGTTACATCACCGGACTCCCACATGGCAAACCATGGTTCGAGTCCCAGACCTGGTAGCTTGAAGCTCATGCCGGGCACGTGTACCTGCATGCCCAAAATCCTTAGAGAAGAATCGAGGAGAAGGGATTGCAGTGTGGCCATCTCTCTAGCAGGGATTTCTGTCTTTCTGACTCTCTTGTCTCTCCAGTGAGCACATATCCCCATAGCAAAAAAAAAAAAAAAAAACCAACCAAAAAAACAAAACAAAACAAAACAAAAACTTCTCTCTAAAAATGAACAAAAAACCCCATTAGATTTAGCACAATATAAATATACCCTTACCAAAGGTCTTCTTTGATTGCATTAGAATCAGAAACATTTTCATGTTAGGGACTATTTCCTTCTTTATGTAACTGGAAAATTATTTTAGACCCAAGGAAAATTTCAGAAAGCTTGGAATCACTTTACTATTGCCATGGAAGTTGATCCAAAGAGCTACCTTGCCCATGAAGGAAGAGCTGTGGTCTGTCTTCAGATGGGTAATAATTTTGCTGCGATGCAGGATATTAATGAGGCCATAAAGGTAAACATGCATTTTGGGGTATGTTATTGTTCACATAAATTAACACTGGTAATTAATAGATTCAAGTAAAAAGTTCTCTGTTACCTTTGTAAAGGAACTTTGGGAAAAATCTTTTTTCAAGTGATTTCTAGGGTCAAGAGTTATAACTTAAGAATTTTAAAACCTAACTGCATTTCAAAGTAAAAAGTAAAATTCCTAATGTTGATTTCTCTCAGTAAATGGAACTTATAGTTTCATGAAGCATCAATACTGTTTTATAAACCTCTCCAAAAAAGGAAAAAAAAATTAATAAAAAGGGACCAGCAGTTAGCGTAATGGCTATGTCACTGGACTCCCACGTAGTTGACCATGGTTCGAGTCCCAGACCTGGTGGCTTATATTCACACCGGGCATGTGTGCGTGCGTGCCCAAGATCCCGAGAGGAGAGTGGAGGAGAAGGGATTGTGGTGTGGCCATCCCCCCCTGGGGGGATGATTTCTTGCTTTCTGTCTCTCTGTCTGTCTCTGTCTGGCTGGCGAGCGCATGCACCCTATAGCAAAAACCTCTCCCAAAAAAAGAAAAAAAATGCTGTTTTACAACACAAAATGGATGATGTAAAATAATGTTCTAGATTTGAAGGAACTAAGGAAAAGGAAAAAAACAGTGTAATCCCCTGATTATTCCTGTAGAGAAGTGGCAGATAAATATCTCATGTTTTGTATGCAGTGTCAAAAAGTCTTCTGTAAATTTGAGTAAATGCAATTTTTGAGATGAGAAAAAGGACAGAATTAATTGAAAGGTAATTGTAAGCATGGCTTTCTGATTTAATTTCTTCTCCAGGTTACCATAGCTAACCAGATAAGCTTTAACCTCTGTGTCTATTCTTTGGAAAGGAACTGAGTAAAACAGTCAGATTATTTGTTTTATTGCAACCGAATCAACAAAGTGTTGACAATGAACCAACTGCATACCAAGTCCTTTCTCAAAATATTTGTTCTAATAGGGTTTTACCTGCACTATAAAATTACTAGTTTCTCAGAAGTAAATTTCATAATGTTCATTTTTGCAGACATGAAATAGGAGATGAGGACTATTTCCAGGTGCTAAATACTCATACTTTCATATTGCAGATCAATGCTACAGCAGAATTCTTAACAAACCGTGGTGTGATTCATGAGTTCATGGGTCAAAAGCAGAATGCAATGAAAGACTATCAAGCAGCAATATCGCTAAACCCCAAGTACTCGCTGGCTTATTTTAATGCAGGAAATATCTACTTTCACCACAGGCAGTTTTCCCAGGTAATGTGAGTTTTCCTTAACATTTCCTTTTTGTCATTAAATGCTTTCTTTGTTGTATATAATTTCAAAGTGCAATCTTTACATCTCAGGCTAATAACTCATTAGCTCTTCTTAAAAATGTTCTTTTTTAGGAGTGTCTGTAAGTATCCATTAAACATTACAATTCTGTAGATTTATTCTCCTCATTATTATCAACCATACAGTACATGTTCAGTGAAAGTATGTGTACAGAAACATTCTCTTAGACTTCTCTAAGTGTCACTTCCTTCGCTAATCATCGCCAGTCTGAAATCCTTTAGTCTTTTCTCTTACTTCCTTCAAGACCCTTTTTAGGATATAACTTCTTATGATCTAACTCAATTTATACTTTTCTAAATTTCAATTACCTGAGCATTTGATGGGGAATAAGGCTACTTGTGTTTTAATTTTGTGTGACTTCTTAATCTCTTTGGACCACAATTTGTAATGTCTGAAATGACGTGTTGTGTTATTAGATGATATTTTCTTGTTTAAAAACTTATTCAAAATGAATAAAATAATTGAATAAAATGAATGAATTATGATACATTTGCATGATTTAACTCTCATAAATTTTTACTTTTTATTCATAATTGCTCTTATTATACTTTTCTTCCATTTATTTTGTGTTATTTGATTCTCTCTCTCTCTCTTTTTGTTTTAGTTGGAGATTCGTTCATTTATTGTCACCCTTTCATTTGTCTCATGAAAAATTAGGAAGGTTACGCCTTTTTCCCCAAGTGCTCTTTTGGCAGTATATCACATAATTGGGTCTATAATGTTTATTTGTTTATTTTTAACTTGGATAAAATACACATAACATAAAATTTATCATCTTAACTATTTTTTAATGTATAGCTCAGTAATAAGTTTACCGTGTAATGGCTTTATTATTAATGTTTTCCAAAAATTTTGTACCTATATTTTATTTTTGTCCTTTGCCTCAAGAATAAACTTATCAGGCATTTAACTTATAGGAAGGCTTTTATGTTTTCTACATTTTGGAATTTATTGTTATGGTTTTTCTAAAGAAGAGGTTTTACTGTCAGGATATAGTTTAATCTACATTTCTTTTTTTTTGGAGAGGTTTTTGGGGTGTGTGCTCACCAGAAAGAGTCAGAGAGACAGAAAGCGAGAAATCACCTCCCAGGGTGGGTGGCCACACCGCAATCCCTTATCCTCCATCTCCTCTCAGGATTTTGGGCACACATGCACACATGTTCGGTGTGAATTTAAGCCACCCGGTCCGGGATTTAAATCGCTATCAACTACATGGAAATCCAATGACATAGCCATTATGCCAACTGCTGGTCCTGAGTTTAATCTATATTTCTATAGTCTAACTTACTATGTTTTTAATTAGCTTATATCTGTATGCTTTTTATCACTTGTTTTATCTTGGACTGAAAAGGTTTATTTAAATATCCTCTTATCAGTGTGTTCCTATGCATTTCTCTTTACATCTCTTGTAATTTCTGCCTCATGAATTTGCTGTTCTATTATATCATATATTTCAAACTGACTATCTATACATGGTGAATTATAGCCTTCAGCATTACAGGTGTCATTTGTTTCTTCTAATGTTCTTTGGAACAAATTCTACTTTATCTTATATGAAGATCATGACTTTTGATTTCTTTCTTTCTTTTTTTTTTTTGGAGGGGGTTTTCTGGCCTGGTATTCCTTCACCTTTTCTTTTCAGTGTTTACAATTCTTTGCCTTAATTGTGCCTCTTTTATAATGCATAGAGTTGGATTTTGCTGTGAGAATCAACTTGAAAATAATTTTCTTTTAATAGGCAAATTAAGGCCATCTACATTTTGGCATGATCAATATGTTTGGTCTTAACCTTATTATTTTATGTAATATAAAGTGTGTTTATGTGTATTTGAAAAGTATTTTATTCCATGATCTGTTTTCTTTAATTTTTCTTTTGGAATTTTTCCTGATATTTAGGGAGGTTTACAGTTTTTCTCTAATGATTACTTTTATAAAAGGACCTTTAATAGCCTTGGTTTGGGAGCCGGCAGGTGGTGTGGTGGTTAAGGATGCTGGACTTCCACATGGCCAGCCACGGTTTGAGCCCTGGATCTGGCAGCTTCCTTTCTTGCTTTCCCTCTCTCTCTCTCTCTCTCTTGCTCTGTCCTTCTCTGGTCAAATTAAAATAAATAAATAAATAAAGTTAAATAAAATAATTCTTAAAAAAAATATACCCTTGGTTCCTTATTTCTTTAGTTTCTCTATTATGAGCAACAGTAAAATTACCCTATAATGTCTTCTGTCCTCCCATCCATTATTCCGTTTTAGTTTGAAGTAGTCTTTTTTAAAAATGTGCATCATTGTATTCTTAAATATGTCTAAATGTATTGTGTCAGCTTGGGATGCTGGACTTCCACATGGCCAGCCACGGTTTGAGCCCTGGATCTGGCAGCTTCCTTTCTTGCTTTCCCTCTCTCTCTCTCTCTCTCTTGCTCTGTCCTTCTCTGGTCAAATTAAAATAAATAAATAAATAAAGTTAAATAAAATAATTCTTAAAAAAAATATACCCTTGGTTCCTTATTTCTTTAGTTTCTCTATTATGAGCAACAGTAAAATTACCCTATAATGTCTTCTGTCCTCCCATCCATTATTCCGTTTTAGTTTGAAGTAGTCTTTTTTAAAAATGTGCATCATTGTATTCTTAAATATGTCTAAATGTATTGTGTCAGCTTGCTTCTCTACTGTATCTTTAGAATTTGAAATGTTACTATTTGAAATGTTTGAAATGTTATACCATTTGATATGTTGTAATTTTCTCCCATTTTATTGCATTTCATTAATCTGATACCACCAGAGGATTTACTGTTTATCACCTTTATTGCAAAGTTTAGTCTTAGTTCTCTGGTTAAGAGTATTTCATTCTTATCACTAGACTTTTTGCCAAAGTTCACTTCTCCCTTTATCTTTTCTTGGTTGTCTTAAATGAATCCTCTGGTAGAGACCTAAGGAAGGACTTATGAGAACAATATTTCCTGAACTTTTGCATAATCACAGCTGTTCGCCTTGATAGCTTAAGATAACATGTCTCTGATTCATTTTTTTCTTTTCTTGAATGTTTTGTAAGTGTTGCTTCCCTGTTTTCTGGTGATGTTGGTGTATGTTGGTGTCAAGAAGCCTGATATAAATGGTCAAGATAACCAAAGACTTTTTTTAAGTAAAATGTTTACCAGATATGCCTTAGGGTTGACCATTGGCAGTCATATTTATCAAATACACAGTACATAGTTTTATTATGAATATTTCAGAAAATTTTTGATAAATTCAATATATATTTTTTTCTATTTCATTGTTATTCTTCATGGAGAGGATGCATATGAGTTGTAGATCATGTTGGATATTCTTTGACTTCTACATACTATCTTTTCTCAATTTAAAAAGTTTCTTCATTTCAGGGCTGGCAGGTGGCATGGTGGTTAAGGGGGCTAGACTCCCACATGGCCGACCATGGTTTGAGTTAAAGACCTGGCAGCTTGCTTTCTCACTTTTTTTTCCTCTCTCTGTCCCTCTCTGGTTAAATTAAAATAAATAAATAAAGTTAAATAAAATAACTATTAAAAATCTTCATTGGTGCTTAATTTTATTTGACTTCCTCAAATCTCTTATCTAAACCTTTGCTATTTTTTTCTGAGATAGCTATTATCCCTTCTAGTCATAATTCAGGCTTCTTTTTTTTACTTTATTTTTCTAGTTCTATTCCATTTCCAAGCTTTTGCTTCTTGGTCATCTTCTTTTTGAGTTCTTTTATTTCTGATTTTTTTTTTCTCAACTGTAATTTTGTTCTTAATGGTTTTTTTCCAGTTCACTTGAAATGTTCTTTTTTTTTTTTTCCAAAACTTCATTGAGTTCATTCAAAAAACATTGACAAAATAAATTTCAGTTGCAATTTCACATGCACCAAAAATAAAAGTGTTACTTATAACCATGGCTTACAAATGAATGAAAAACTACAATTTCACAAAAGATTGTAAACATTTTGCACTAGTCAGACCTTTCCTTTAGGCAAAGTGCTCTTTTGATGACAAATAAATGAACAAATACACAGTATTGTGAACTATTTCAGACAATCAAATAATGTTCTGATTGTTTTTTCTCATGTAAGCAAAAATTTATCATTTATAATCTTTTTTCTTTCTTTCTTTTTTTTTTTAGAGGTTTTTGCTACAGGGCGCGTGAGCTTGCCAGACAGATGGAGAGAGACAGAGAGACAGAAAGCGAGAAATCACCCCCAAGGGGGGATGGCCATGCCGCAATCCTCTATTCTCCTCTTGGGCACGCATGCACACATGCCCGGCGTGAGTTTTAAGCCACCAGGTCGAAGACGCAAACCATGGTCGACTACATGGGAGTCCAGCGTCATAGACATTATGCTAACTGCTGGTCCCTCTTTTTTTTTTTTTTGTCTCACACCCACCATCCACCACGCACTCTCTACCAACCACTTTCCCCGCTTTACTGTCACTAACATCCACACTGCTTCTCTCCACCATCACATATTTAGATCTCTCAACCTCTGCCGTAGAGTGCAGACACTCAATACAAATTGGATGGAGATATACTATGTGTATCTTTTAAAGTCTGGCTCACTTCACTCAACATTAAATCTCTATTTTCCCATTTTGAGTTGAACCATAGGAGCTCATTGTTTCTTATAGCTGTGTAATATTCTGTAGTGTATATATGCCACAGTTTTTCAACCCAGTCATCAGTTTTTGGACACTTAGGTTGGTTCCATGTTTTAGCAATCATAAATAATGCTGCAATACATATGGATGTGCAGATGCCTTTCCAATTGATTGTTTTCTTATCCTGTGGGTAGGTAATAAGAAGTGGGAATACTGAGTCATATGGAAGACCAAGTTTTTTCCCCTCAAAAACTTACAAATAGAAATTTTATAATTTTAATTTACATTGTAGCAGTACTTTTTTTTTCTGGTAAGTTTTTA